TAAAAGAGGAGGCGAGAGAGAGAGGAGCACATATCTTAGTGCATATGTGGACACATGCAAAGAGTGAGGACTCATTTCTGTCTACATGGTATATTTTCTTCTACATGCCATTAAAACATGTAAATATGTGATTATTAGAGGCAGCAGTGCAACGTTAGCGCAGCAGAGAAACCTTTGCTCTGCATGAGTCTGTGTGGGACTAACAGGATCCCAGTGTCTCAGCATCTCTCAATGATTTAAAGCCAACAACTTTATTCTTTTGTCACTCTTTGCACAGTGCTGTCTTTTAGAGAATAAACGGTGCTAATGAATGAACACAATCTCCTCAGCAACAAACAGAAAAGCCCCTTTATTAGATACAACTTGCTAGTACTGGGGTGGACCCCTTTTGCCTTCAGAGCCACTGCTTCATGGCTGAAGCTGCTTCATTCATCAAAGTGCTGGAAGCATTCCTCAGACATTTTTGGTCCATGTTCACGTGATAGCGTCATAGATTTATCAGCTGCATGGTGTGAATCTTAAAACAATGTTCAGGTAGGCTGTGGTATTTTAATAATGCTGAACTGTCACCTAGTGTTGTCTTCTGCTGCTGCATCTTACCTGATTCGACGTGTTGTGTCTTTAGAGATGCTCTTTCTCGTGAATTGATTGTAAGGAGTGGTTATTTGAGTTACTTTTACCTCTGGATCTGCTCAAAGCAAATCTATCCATGCTCCTCTGACCTCTGATGTCAACAAGGTGCTTTTACCAGCTCACTGGATATTTTTTCTTTATCTGAAAGTTCTCTGTAATCCCTAGAGATGGTTGTGCAGGAATATCCCAGCAGATCTGTGAAGTACCAAGACTAGGTCAACTACATCGTGTTCAAAGTCACTCAAATCCCCTTTCTTCACCATTCTAATGCTACAGGTTAAATGCATTGAGTTGATGCAATATGATTGACTGATTACACATTTATGTAATCAACGCCTATTCAATGAGTAGTTGAATAGGTGTACCTAATAAAGTGTCCAGTGCAAGTTTTTCACTTGGGAGCTGGTGGAAAAATCAAAAGCAGAGAAAAAGAGAGCGATGTTGGGAATTCTCAATTGTTGCTAAATGTCTGATGCTTGTATATAAAACTGTTCACTGATGCTCTGTCATTTTAATGCCTGGTAATTCATCCACTTGGGGCCTTTTTAACCTGGAGCTGGTAGAAAAAATATGAGCAAAAGACATTTCTATTCTGAAACCAGTTAATTAATAACAGTCTTAAAAACCCAGACAGCCTGGCGTTCATATACATCACACCTAAATAACCAGTCTGTCAGCATGCAGGGTGGGGTTAACTTGCCAGATCTGACATTTATCTTTTACATTTTTAACATGGAGCTGTGCAAAAAGCATCATGAGTGTGCAGGGTTGTACAGTGAGCATGTGCAATCCTGCACAGCTTCCTTGTATAAAGCTTGATTTTGCCCATGTGAGAATAAGACAAATAACAGTGCTGTGTCTTTTTCCTGCCCACTCTATGCAGAAAGCCTGACCTAAACCAAGTGATGTCTTTCCAATGAGGATGCATTTGAAGCGACTTCAAAAAATGTCAGTCTGATTCTCCCAACATTATCTAGAGGTCATGTGTGAAAATGGCATTAGAGTAGTTTTACGAGCTCCAGCAAAGAGGCAGGAATTCATTTGCATACCTAGAGATCCAAGCATGGAAAGAAGCTAGCAGCGTGAAAGGCCTTACATCAAGGCCATTTAAGACTTTAATGGATTATAGTCATAGTCAAAAATAGTTCTATAAATGTATTTTGATAAACTGAGCTTAGCTTTTAAGGGTTCATTAGTGCCAAGTCAGGAAGTTTAAGCTGACCTTGCTAACACAGTTTTTCATAGTTTTCTTTTAGAAAACTATGTTGAACAATCTCAGTAAAATTAAACTGTGAAGTTGATAGCCATGAACGTAAAACAATAAAATATTCTGTAGAGTCACTGCTGTCGATCCAAGATTAATAAAGGAACAGAACCCTTTCATATTTAATCCGTTTTTCCAGAAATAATAACGTATCCTCGTTTACTTCAAGCTTTGAAATCAATCTTTGTTCTACTGCCTCAAAGTGGATTAGGAAAAACTGCACATTCAAGCTCCCTCAAGAATCATAAAATGTTACCTGAAAATAAAAGCAAGGCTATTAAACAGATCCAGAGAGGTGGATGATGATGTGCTTTCTACTCATGTGACCACAAATTGCTCACATCATCTAAATATGTAAGATTTAAAACAAAAAAAGACAGAGAGAGAGAGAGAGAGAGAGAGATCTGACACTTCTTCTCACTTGTTTTCGGGATTATAGAGGTAAAAATATCAAAAAGCTGCTCCCTCCACTTTCAGCCTGCCAGGTTTAATTTACCATGCTTTCATCACTGGAGATAATTACACTTACCACTGCTTTCTATACGGTAAAGCTGGTTGACCTTCCCTATCTGAAAAATCTAATAACCACCAGTACTCATACAATGGGATAGAAAATTGCCATCTTATATCTCATCTTTGCTACTGCTGGGACTGCGACACATATTTAAACCGTTTCACTGACTGGTTTAATGTATCAGGAGCCCTGAACCAGAACCGATGTAGGAAAGCCTGTCTTTGCAGTTTGAGCAGCAGTCTCATGGATAATATACCACATCATGTCCCCTCTCTGTACCTCAACAAGCCAACAACAACCTCCACCTGCCTGCGATTCCTTTACAAGCTTGTTTAGTGGAATATGTCTGCTCTTATTGCTTTTGTAAATGATGGCAATTTAATTCAATTCTGTTTTATTTATACAGCACCAAATCACAACAAACGTCACCTCAAAACACTTTACATAGTAAGGTAGCGAAAGAAATCCCACAATCACATGACTTGGGAATAGTGGGAAAGAAAAGCTCAATTTTCACAGGAAGAACTCCCAGAAGAGCCTAGTTCTGCTAGAATGCTCACCTAACAACTTGTCACCTCACATAAAAACAAAAACAAAAAACACATTTTAGAAAATTTCAAAAATTCACATTTTTATACCCAAATTTGAGTATAAAAGATTACATTAAAAAATTTCTGGATAGCAACAATAATCATATTTTTATATGATTATTTACCATTTAAAAATATTTTAATTAAATTTTAATTAAAGAGCTTGCACCTGCTGGTGGATTAACCAATACAAGGACGTAAAAAATGATTTTGGTCATTTCAAATACTGTTAATTTAGGGCATAAATCTTAGATTAGGTGGTGGTCTACCACATTAGTTAAGCATTGGAAATGATGATAATAATGAATATGATCAAAACTGAGTCGTGTTTCAGAGCTTTGTTTTGAGCATTTTGGCTGCATCACAGGTCACTTGGCCTTAGAGAACTCCTTTCTCTATATTTATGAATTAAATTTAAAACAATGACAGATATGTTGTAGTCAATAGAACTTGAAACTTGCAGCTGAGGCTATAATATCATCAGGAAAGTGTTTTAATGAGGTTATATGTGAAGATACCCAGGTACTGTTTTCCTATAGACTTCAATATATCTGACCTTTTTTTTAAAAAAAACACCAGAAGAGTCGCCCCCTGCTGGCCTTTAAGAAGACTGCAGATTAAAGGTGCTGCACATTCAGTCTATGTCTATCATATTTATACAATCACCATGGCAGCCTGTGGCTACATAATGACAGGATATGATGTGATAGGAGTTTCCTGTATGTTCATTTTGTTATCATAGTTATTTTATAACACTGTGAACATTGTATCCTCAAGTAGCCAGTTAACAGTGTTATCTTTAAACTGTCAGGACTTAGTGATAGATTTAATTCGGTTCTATTTAAGCAGAGGCAACTCACTCATAAAGCGCCACATTTTAAAACAAACGGTTCATAATATTCCCCAGAGCCCAGGGCGAGAGATGAAGTATTCAGATTCTGATGTTTTACACATCAAACAATCATATTTACCATTTCTACAAGAGCAAATGTCTGAAGTTTTGCTTGTAAAATTAGTGAAACTGTGACAATACTGTTTTTTAATTAAAAACAGCTACTGTTTAAAGATCTCCAGACTGACGTAAATGATCGTCTATTTTCTTTTATAACCATTTTGCTTGCTCTCATATTGAAAAAATAAATATATTCACTTTTCGTGGCAATAAACAGAGTAGGGCCAACTTATTATTGTACAGATGAGCTGCAGGGGCTATTGTCAGAGGGCACCAGCATAGAAATGAGTCATAATGTAAAGATGGCATTGAGACAAAGAAAACAGTACATGCTTTAAAACTCAAGGAGAAGGTTCTGCTTATACACAAACTCTCTCTGGACATTGCAGTAGACAGTTGAGCAGGTCCGGAGGAAGCCGAGAACAACATGGCCCTGGAAAGGAAAGAGACCAGACCAGAATGTCATTAAAGTTAATGCAGGCTCCTGCATAATCACCATTTCTTTCTCAATCCTTCAAATAATATTCGAGCTACTCCGAGTGCTGCTCCATCATGTTTAAAGCCTGTAAATGCCTGTTTTCTTAGATGTGTGCCACCTGTATTTTACCGCACAGCCTTCACTACGGGC